GAGCAATGGGCTTGGAAATGACACCTTCCATGGTGCTAACCACATCCATCACGGAATTGCCCTTTCCGGTTCCGAGGTTGAATGTACGGAAGTTCTCACTCAGCTTGCCTTCGTTGGCAGAGCTGAGTGCAGCAATGTGACCACGCGCTAGATCACTGACGTGGATGAAGTCACGAACAGCAGTGCCGTCCTCGGTCTCCCAATCAGTTCCAAACATTGAAAGCTCGGAGTACTGGCCGGTCATGACCTTGACCACGACAGGGAGCAGGTTTGTTGGTGCCTGTCTGGGGTCCTCGCCCAACAGACCGGAGGAATCACAGCCGACGGGGTTGAAATACCGAAGGGCAACGATGGTCCACTCAGGGTCTGATACGGCCAAGTCGGCCAGGATGGTCTCACACATCCACTTGGTGCGTCCATATGGGTTGGTTATACCGGTGCATCCCGGCTGAATGGATTGTTGTGTGCCTTCCTCGTTCGTATACACCTCTTCCTTGTGCACACAGAGTTCTTCCTTCAATGGCAGACCAGAAGTGGCCAGGGTTCCGTACACAGTGGCGGAGGATGAGAAGATGAAAGTCTTGATGCCAAAGTCTCCAAGAGTGGTGGCAAAGTCGACCAGGCCACTGACGTTGTTGGAGTAATACTTCAATGGATTGCGGATGCTCTCCTCGACAGCCTTGTAGGCTGCAAAATGAATCACGCCAGCAATTCTTGACTTGGCGTTTCCCCAACGAGAGGGCATTCGATACTCCTCAAGCAAAGGCTTGAGGGCCGTGGTGTCGCGGTAGTCGTGTGCGTGCAACCGTAAAGAAGGCATCTTGGTACCATTCTCTTCGTGGTGCTTCTTAGCCAAGATGCTGATGCGGTCGAGAACATTCTCGAATGCGTTGCTGAGGTTGTCGATCACAACGACATTATAATTGGCCTTGAGGAGCTCGAGGGTGGTGTGACTTCCAATGAAGCCAAGACCACCGGTGACGAGTATATGGCTCTCCGAAGGAATATTGCGCAATAGCTCCTCGATATTGTCGAACAAGTCACCACGCTCTGTTGCTGGGGTGTCGACAGCCACAGGAGACTCAAGCTCTGACGGAGTGCTTGCATCAGAGCGTCGACGACTGTCTGACCTTGAAGAAGGCATTGATGTGGGTACAAACATTGTGATAATTGAACAAGCAACCAACACCTAGTCAGCTGTACTACCAAAGGCAAAGAGATGAAATGTTTGGTGTTAAACTGTGATCAAGACCGAGATATCCAAGCTCTCTAGCGGGCCTCCCACCAAGGTTTTATACAAAAAACCCAAGACAGCCGCCTATATTGCCTCACTCAGACCCTTCGCTTCAGTTCATCTATTGTATCATCCTTGCCGGACGAATGAGCAATCAGCACAGTCCCCCGCCGGCAAAAATGGAAAGGCCAGGAACATATGGAACAAGCATAAGCGGAATAAAAAAAGAAAAAGATACTATAATAGGGGCAAAAGCAAGCAAAATCGGAATAGAACCATCGGGCAGGATCCCCCTTGTGGACCATACATGCGGCTGGGCCTTGGGGATATCATTTTGTACATCGAAATGCCCTAGAAGGCCTCCACCTGGCTGGTACGTCAGGGCCTCAGCTCAAACGAAAAATAAATGTATTTTTATTATTTTTTTATTATTATTTTTTCTCATCTAAGACCCTTTCTGCATCCTGGGTCGAGACCCGCTCCGTATTTCGGCCGCAAAGTCTTGGGGGTGGCTAACTGCAACTCGTTTTGTTTTTTAGTTCTATCCAGATCCAGATATCTAGAGTGCTCTTGAATCCACTTCGTTCAACTCCCAACTCTGTAACAACGTATACCAATATGTCTGATACCTCGGAGAAACACGTGAGCAAGCGCGAATGTTTAAAATCCACTCGCTCTCGAATCATCTTGGCAATTGTCGCTCTCGTCGTGATTATTGCCGCTGTCGTCCCCTCAGTCGTTGTCACTACTCTTCACAAGAACAACAGCATGGGTCCTAAGGCTAAGGTCTTCGTGCCTCTCTACGTATACCCTGCTCCTGGGGCGTGGACGCCGCTGGAAAATGTGTATGTTCTAACACTTTCCATCCCACCCAAGCCATCCCCCCAGATCCCATATTGCATCTCAGGCGGCCGGTGGTCCGCCACACAATCGCATGGGGTTATGCTACGCCGTTCAGGCGCCAAAATTATCACATCTCCAGAAAAGAAATTATACCTAACTGCTATAAACGCCACAGTATCTCTGCCCACCCTGATGTCAACTTTACCGTCGTAATCAATCCAGGAAACGGACCAGGGCCTGACTCGCTCCCAGATGCGAATTATACCCGTGAAATTCCTGTTCTCTCCTCTTACGCAAATGTCCGTCTTTTGGGTTATGTTTACACCTCATACGCAAAGCGCAATGTTTCGGCCATTCGCAATGATATCCAGACTTACGCCGACTGGCAAACCAATTCCTCTAACCCCAACCTGGCGGTTCAAGGAATCTTCTTCGATGAAACCCCTCAACAATACGATGCCCAAACCTTGACCTACTTGCAAGGTCTGACTGACTTTGTCAAAGACCTGGAGGGCCTTGGTCCTGATAAATTCGTGAGTGCGATTCTCAAAACCCCCCATTGTTACCTTACCATACAACCTCCCTGTCTTTTATTCTACACTTGCATTTACGTTTCTTTATTTGCAATTCTGTTTTACCTTTCCCATTCCAAGGCTCCCTTTCCCCAGGCGTATCCAACGCCCACTCGCATTTCAAACTTGCTTTATTGCTTTTTCCTCTCCCCAAAACGTCTCCTATATTCCACATTTCCATACAGGTCTCCTCCAACCTGTGTCACATCGGGTTCCCCATCTGGGATAAACAGGCGAACCCCATAAGAGTAGAACTGACATGTCCCGCAGGTCGTCCACAACCCTGGGGCCGTCCCAGATTCCCGGTACCTGGCTACAGCTGACTCCACCGTCGTGTTCGAAGCAGCGTACAGCACTTTCCAGGAACGGCAAGGCGCGAAGCTATTCACAAGTATTCAGGATAGCAATCGCTCTCAGCTTTGCGCCATTGTGCACTCCGTTCCGGAGACTATTGAGGGCAAGTCGCTTCGAGGGCTTGTGAAGGAGGTGCGCAGGGTGGCTGATGAGGTGTACATCACTCATTTGTCAACCGACTACTATGCTTCGTTTGGGCAGAAGATGAACGAGTTTGTCGGTTTGATGGCGGCTTAAGTTGGTTGGTTCATTGGATCTATTTTGGTATTGGGGAGGCAATTGAGCGTGCAAATTGTCAAAGCTAGCATTCCTTGGTTCATGTTTCCGGTTTTGTAGCTATTTTCTAATGATTTACGATAACATGTCTTTTTTTGATACTTTTGGCCTCCTCAGGCAACAACTAGAGTGAAAAACTTTTGTGATTTGCCTGACAATCTTCTCTCTTTGTTTGGGTGATCGGGTTGACTCTGTCAAGGTGGAGAGCGTATAATACGCGGTAATTTTCAAATTTTCAAGTTTCCGCCAAGGATTCGATACATACGTTTCGACACTAACCTCTGAGGTGCATTTGTTCCGCCCATTCACAGAAACTTATGAATGGGGGTGGCAATAATGGAAAATCTGGTAGGTTCAAGAAGTCTTACATGGTGACTGGGACCGGATTTAAAATGTGGCATCCCCGCTGCCCTACAGGGGACTCGCTCTCTTTCTCTAAATACGAGATGACCGAACAACCTATATCGTCAGAACAAGAATATATCAGTGACGCTGACATTCCTTTCCCGGATCTCGATCCAGACTAGGGTCCTTTGCAATGTCTCTGAGTTACCGGGGAACCGATCAATCCATGAGACCTGCATATGGTGTCATGTACGCCCAGGCCCAATACCGGGTCGCGGTTTCGAAATCCCCCAAAATAGCCCTAGCAGTGTTGGCGCTCTAGTCTTGGCAAGGTATATCTGAGCCACGGGTGTTTCAACAGCATGGAGACCATCGTATCCCATTTTGTGAGACTGGTCTATTGCTGCATTAGTCTGGAACATGTTGAGACGAAAGTCTAAGTCGCTCTACTCAGCGCTCTCCTTTCAATCTCGTTCAGGTGTCGGTTATAGTGAGTCGTATGACTGAAACAGCAGCGTGGGACATAGCATAGGACCAAAATGTAGATTTTCGGGGTTTAGCACTGCCATAGCCCCAGTCATTAGGTACTATAAGTGAGAAAAAAGCACGATACAACGCTGCATTGAAACAGGAGCAATGCATATATGTACAACGTGGTCGAAGTACGTCTGGCCAGGTTCGAAAGTAGACCTGTTCCATTCCAGCGGAAACGGAGCCACAGTATATTCCAGGAACCAGACTGGTGAGACATGACGCACAGCTGTAAGGCGAGTCGCGCCTTCAATTCCCTGGGAAGCTCTTGCCCAGCCGCAATGCTACTGTAACGGATAACGTCTAACTGGGAGATATACTGGGATGAATGACCAATACGACGCAGGTTTATCCCTGCGTAAATCGCTGGATGATACAGTTAATGGATTCTCGATATGCCTCACCCTTGTCTCTTCAGCGCATGCTCTTCGGAGGTGATACCCCTGAGTTGGCCGCTGGTGGCGGAAGCCACCACCTCGTGGCATGGGTCGGCTACTTCGGGACCAGAGATGGCGATGGGGATTCGCAGACTTGCATGGCTGTCACTCGCGTGGCTGACAGGATTTACGATCTATCCCTTGGCTAGAACTGACTTTTGTAGTTGCCGAGCGTGCCTAGACAAATACAGTAGGAAGGTTTGGAAATCTCTTCTGTCGTGCATAAGCGAATTGACCCACTCAGAGACTAACACAAGGCAGTTCGCTAGGGTGCGTTAGTACCGCACTAATGGTATAAAGTACAAGATCGGCGTTGATCCAGTAATGGAAAGGAGGCCGGGATGGGTCCATGGCTGGGGCTTGCGGCGCGATCTGTTTTGAACATGCAAGGGTGGACACGCCTAGATCTCAAGATTTGGCGAACCGTTCTTTCTGCGTTCGCTGGGGCGCGAATGCAAGTTCAAGAGCTCGAAGTATAGGTTGCCATGCATAGTTAGTTCATTACAAGTGGCGAACCACATTAAGAAGCCGTACGGCCGAAATGACCATTCGCGCCGAGCTTGCTTGCGCCGCTTGGGACCATCGTGGGCCGACCATTCTGGAACTGTTAGCCTGGCGGGGACCACAACCGACCAGGCAACCCGCCACTTCGGATCGCCTCAGAGATAAGTTCCCACCGAGCTTTGATTCAGGGGGTGCGTGCAATGAAATTTAGACTCCTCACGAAGCCAACGGTAGCCTAAGTGAAGGTGATGATCAAGGCAACCGCCGAACATCCAAAGTGCATCGCCAATGAAGTCGAAGTTTCCGATGGTTCGTGGTTTGTGGTTCAGGAACCATGCAGATCCGCTCGGGAGCCGCTCGGGCTGCCGGTTTTAGCGCTTTCTCTTTCTATTACCTAGTCCTTTGCGTTTTTCGACCACGCGAACCGACGGGCTTAGCTTGTTTTATTGGAGTGTATATAGCAAAGGAATATGCCCGAGGCGACGTATACACGGCGATTCCGATCGGGGAGAAGACCGTGGAGCTAAGGAAAACCAGTCCGTGTTCATCGGCATTTTTATCGTGATATGTTAGGACTAAGAAAATTCTCTCGTTTGATATTATCTAACTATAAACGGTAGGACTTGCGAAGGGCACTCTGGGAATAAAATTTTACATGCCCAGGTACGATGTACGTGCGACTTTACTTTCAGCCCGCGGGTGAGTTATGCAAGGGCGATGGCTAGTGCCATCATCCCGTACCATAATATGTGATATATCCAACAGGATTGGTCGGTGAAACTCGTGTCTTTGAACAAATACAGACGAAGTTTGAGAAAACACAAGTTACAGTACGGGACTGATATTAATTACATGTATTGTAAATAATGTACTGTAAATGGCGACATCAAAAAGACGCAAACGAACCTTGCAAATACCGGCCGAATCCACTTCCCCAACTGCACACTAAACAAGCTAACAGTACCCCTTGAAACCTGCCCAATCAGATTCCCCGAGAGCATCAGACACCGCAGATGCCAAGACCGCCAAGACAACAATCGAACATCAACCACCGATCTGGTCACGAAAGTGCCCAAAGAGTCATTTGTCTTTCCCCACTACAACGGATCGCTGCATGGCCCATGTCCAATGAAGGTCGTCGCATATTGATTGATAGTGGCTCAGTTGAAACCTATCAACTAACAATCTACAAGAGACAGCCAAGGCAACAAAAAAAAACAAGGATGAACTCCTGTTTCTGGTAGTCAAAGAGCGAAATCAAGGATCCAAAACCAGCTTCCGAAGAAAGAAGCAACTATTGCCGGATGGGTGATTCCGTAACAAGCCCGTGCTTACCGGCCGAAATCATTCTGACACCTGTACTCCATACACCGTAAGAAAATCTGCTTCAGCCACACCAGGCACGCCAGGCACGCCCGGAACCGTTTCTAGTATGGGGTAATCCACTAGTTGCAGAGGCGTAGCTTACCGGGATACGTCGGATGTGAGTTAGCGAGGCATCCAGAGCCAAAGAACAGAACACGAGATCACGCGGTGGCTATGCGCGACGGGCGAGAGCGAGAGCGAGAGCAATTACACCTTGACTCTGCTTATGGGTGTGTGCTGCGTGTAGGTTAGTTCCTCATTCTTGCTGGCTATGGCACCAACTTTCCGGTGTGGAGTGAAATGCGCGAAGGCGATGACGATTACTAGTCAGTCTGAGTTGCGCCTCTACATGTACCCTTTTCGGACGTCACTAGCGACTATTGAAAGGCTAAGTTGCAATTGAGGTGCGAAATGGCGATTCGGTGCTCACATTGGTGTCGTGCTCAGTGAAGGTGGTTGGGTTGGTATGCTATGGCGCTTTTGGTTCCTTGGGCTTGCGTGATGTGGTTCTTTTGTCTGTTGTCAGATTTGTCTTGGATGGTTAGAAGAGCCGAAGTTGATACCGAATTGGTATACTCTGGCTCAATTGAGGAGGTTCATGCAATTCCATGGACTCGGGGAATCCGACGGTGTGCGCTGTGTGTTGGCATGGCGAATATGCAGTGCCGGATTATCCAGGGTTCTTGCAATATCTAGGCGTCATGCACATCGTTGCGAGATGCCTGTTTTCTTGTCATCCTTGGGGTCCAGCTGAGGTCTAACGCTTTGGGCGAACAGGGATGGAAGAGAGTGGAAGGGAAGTCTTAAGTGAAATTGTAAAAGGGAAGTTAAGAGCGAGGGTGTTGGATCCGATTACTAGACAACGCTTAGGATGCATGTAAAGAATGGATTTGCTATGTCATGACGCTATAAAGAACATTCATTGAAGCGAAGGTATCAGAAATATACTTCTTATTTATACATGCAACATCAACTCCCAATTAACGTAAAATAAATATGCACCAGGTCCGAAATTAAGTCTGCATTCCCAGATCAAGGGCAGTACTCAACCCAGTTGTTCAAGTTCATGTTTTTGATGACAGTCGAGAAGTTGCCTGAGCTGCTCGCAGTGCAAGCAGAAGACACCTGCTTGGTGGTGACAGAGATGTCGTTGTTGGTGTCACCCTTAGGATACTCGATGTGGAAGACAGGTTTGTCCGCGTCGATGAAGGCCGCATATGTATCACACTCGTTGTACTGAGCACACTGCTCATTGACACTCCACTGCATATTTCCAATGACCGAGCCAATGATATCTCCGCCGTTCTTCAGTCCAAGGGAAAGACCTCGGTTGTGAGACTGAGTCGCAAGCCAGTTCACGTAGTCGATAGACATAGCCTGGGTAAGACCAAGTCCGTTGTCATTATCGTATCCATCAATGTTGTCAGGGTCAACGCCATCACATCCCTTGGTGACGGCAAGATCAAGACGCTTCTGCATGATCTTGCGCACACTCGTGGACTGAAGGTTGAGCCACTTCTCGCCGGGCCAGTCGTCAAGGTTCTTGCCGAGGTCGGCCTTGTCGAAATCATTTGCGTCGGACCGCCAGTCCTCGTAGGTTCCAGCGGAGAAGTAGCAGATAACCTTGCGACCCATACCCTGGAGTTCGGAAATTATGGACTTGGGGTTGTCGAAGAGATCGATGTCGTAGATGGGCGCGTCGATGGAGGTGTCGTTCAGTGGGTATTTCAGCACGATCTGCCACTTGGTGCCAGCGGCGGGCTTCCATTTAACGGTCGTATTGGTGGGAACCGTGGTATTGGTGCCGCTACCGGTGTCATTGCCGCCGCTGTCGTTGTCGTCGTCTCCGCTGTTCAAACCGATGCCGAGTCCTGCGCCAAGACCAACGCCCAGTGCGACGACGATGAAGCCGATAGTTCCGAAGATGAGAACCTTCTTCTTGGTGGACCAGGCCCACCAGCCAGTCTTTGAGGAAAGTTCACCCATTGAGGAATAGTGTAGAGCTGAAAGAACGAGTGAGATAGAAAGAGGTGTCTTGGATGAGATCAGGTGTGTCAACCCCGCATACTCGATCAGATAAAGTGAAGGAGGTCACCCTAGGTACAAATAAATAGAAAAGAAAGACTTGAAGATCAGCTAGTTCGGGAGATGGGCATCTTTAAGCTTAGAGTAAGGGTGCCGGCTAGACCGGGCTGAGGCTGTGGCGATCCTTTAGGGCGGTTACAGCGATCGCGATCCGAATGTTACCCTGGGGAATGTAAGGCTAAGCCTCAGGAAAACATGTCAGAAGACCCTGAAAATGTGCCTTTCAATGGGAAACCTAGACGAAACAAAGAGTAGAGAATCTGGGAGCCTAGAGGCGGTGGAAGGGGTCGCCAAGAGCACTGAGCCACAGCATTTTGCTTCTTTGACTTGCAGAACTGGCAGAACAGACCAATTTACCGGGGGGGGAGGCAGCCAAGGTTCATTAGGGCGAATTAAGGTGGTGGAACCTGCTAATGCAATTGAATATCTCTGCCGAAAGATATTAAAGTGCAGAGTATATAGTACTTCGCAATATAGTGTCATTTGGGCAGCAAAAAAATTCTACAGTGTGAGCGAAAAATAATCGACGAGCCACCGCCAGTCAAGGACTTAGGGACTTCAGGGGGGCGGACGGTCGGATTGAAAATTGCCAAGGACATTATTACCATGCCCAAAAGACTGTGAAGCGACGGGCGTTCCTAGAGTACAGTAGCGCCGCCTAAAATAGACACTTCTAATCCCTTGGCTCTTTAGCTACATGAAAACAAAGAGTAAAATCTCTGTTCGCCAAGAATGACTACACCTGAACAGGCCTGGGGGCCGCCAAACGCCAGCCGAAGTCTATTATGAGCTTTACTGTATAATCGGGTCCATGACGTTTCGGACATCATTCGAGCTATAAGATGTGAGTCTTTTCGCCTGATTGCCCCGGATCAAACCGATCACGAAATGATGGCACCAGTGGCATTGGGCGGAAAATCTAAAAACATCAGAAACATACATTTGGAACATTGCCAATGGCCAAAGCAAACACCAATGCATGCGCTGGCAAGCGCCTCAGGTGTGAGGTGTCCAAAAGAGGACACAAATGTCCCGATCAGGTGGGGAGGTCGATTTTTTGGGTCGATCGGGTATTTTTAGTGGTATTTGTGTATTGAAATCTTCGGATCCGAGGCAATACACCGTATTTTGCAAATATATTAGCCCTAACCCAGAACTAAATCGGGGTCAAAACATTTGACTTTTGATGATCAGTCGACTTGCAAATCCGTCCGTGCGAATCCGGCAATTCGGATGAGATGATCATCAGTGACTTGTCGGGCCTGAATCATGGACAAGGAAAATCTCAAACCTTCAGGGGTCGCTTACACCGGGATAAGCAATGGGGATTTCAAATTCGAATCACGCCCTGACAAAGGGGTATTGTACCAATGTATCTGTGTCGCTTGACTTACCCCTCGGATTTTACAGACCCGCACTCCAAGACCCGTGAAACCATTACTATCTACGTTTTGGGCTGTCAAGCCGAGGAGAGTACCTAAACAAGATGGAAAACACGCTAAAAAACGCTAAAGACGCTAAAAAGTATGGCGCGCGGATCTAGTCCCAGATAACCCAATCGCTTGATTCTCCCCTTCCCGCAAATCCATTGGACGCCACACCCGCCTACTGAGACAGATGATTAATAAA